GTCAGATGGCTCAGTCTGTTGTGATTGGTCTACTCTGCTCTGATTGGACAGATGGCCCAGTCTGTTGTGATTGGTCTACTTGGCTCTGATTGGTCAGATGACCTAGTCTGTTGTGATTGGTCTACTCGGCTCTGATTGGTCAGATGACCCAGTCTGTTGTGATTGGTCTACTCAGCTCTGATTGGTCAGATGGCCCAGTCTGTTGTGATTGGTCTACTCTGCTCTGATTGGTCAGATGGCCCAGTCTGTTGTGATTGATCTACTCTGCTCTGATTGGTCAGATGGCCCAGTCTGTTGTGATTGGTCTACTCTGCTCTGATTGGTCAGATGACTCAGTCTGTTGTGATTGGTCTACTCTGCTCTGATTGGTCAGATGGCCCAGACTGTTGTGATTGGTCTACTCGGCTCTGATTGGTCAGATGGCTCAGTCTGTTGTGCTTGGTCTACTCTGCTCTGATTGGTCAGATGGCCCAGTCTGTGGTGATTGATCTACTCGGCTCTGATTGGTCAGATGGCTCAGTCTGTTGTGATTGGTCTACTCAGCTCTGATTGGTCAGATGGCTCAGTCTGTTGTGATTGGTCTACTCTGCTCTGATTGGTCAGATGGCTCAGTCTGTTGTGATTGGTCTACTCAGCTCTGATTGGTCAGATGGCTCAGTCTGTTGTGATTGGTCTACTCAGCTCTGATTGGTCAGATGGCTCAGTCTGTTGTGATTGGTCTACTCTGCTCTGATTGGTCAGATGGCCCAGTCTGTTGTGATTTGTCTAGTTTGCTCTGATTGGTCAGATGGCCCAGTCTGTTGTGATTGGTCTACTTGGCTCTGATTGGTCAGATGACCCAGTTTGTTGTGATTGGTCTACTCGGCTCTGATTGGTCAGATGGCCCAGTCTGTTGTGATTGGTCTACTCGGCTCTGATTGGTCAGATGGCTCAGTCTGTTGTGATTTGTCTACTCTGCTCTGATTGGACAGATGGCCCAGTCTGTTGTGATTGATCTACTCTGCTCTGATTGGACAGATGGCCCAGTCTGTTGTGATTGGTCTACTCGGCTCTGATTGGTCAGATGGCCCAGTCTGTTGTGATTGGTCTACTCTGCTCTGATTGGTCAGATGGCCCAGTCTGTTGTGATTGGTCTACTCTGCTCTGATTGGTCAGATGACTCAGTCTGTTGTGATTGGTCTACTCTGCTCTGATTGGTCAGATGGCCCAGTCTGTTGTGATTGGTCTACTCGGCTCTGATTGGTCAGATGACCCAGTCTGTTTTGATTGGTCTACTCGGCTCTGATTGGTCAGATGGCCCAGTCTGTTGTGATTGGTCTACTCGGCTCTGATTGGTCAGATGGCCCAGTCTGTTGTGATTGGTCTACTCGGCTCTGATTGGTCAGATGGCCCAGTCTGTTGTGATTGGTCTACTCTGCTCTGATTGGTCAGATGGCTCAGTCTGTTGTGATTGGTCTACTCGGCTCTGATTGGTCAGATGGCCCAGTCTGTTGTGATTGGTCTACTCTGCTCTGATTGGTCAGATGGCTCAGTCTGTTGTGATTGGTCTACTCGGCTCTGATTGGTCAGATGGCTCAGTCTGTTGTGATTGGTCTACTCGGCTCTGATTGGTCAGAAGGCCCAGTCTGTTGTGATTGGTCTACTTTGCTCTGATTGGTCAGATGGCCCAGTCTGTTGTGATTGGTCTACTTGGCTCTGATTGGTCAGATGACCCAGTCTGTTGTGATTGGTCTACTCGGCTCTGATTGGTCAGATGGCCCAGTCTGTTGTGATTGGTCTACTCGGCTCTGATTGGTCAGATGGCTCAGTCTGTTGTGATTTGTCTACTCTGCTCTGATTGGACAGATGGCCCAGTCTGTTGTGATTGATCTACTCTGCTCTGATTGGACAGATGGCCCAGTCTGTTGTGATTGGTCTACTCGGCTCTGATTGGTCAGATGGCCCAGTCTGTTGTGATTGGTCTACTCTGCTCTGATTGGTCAGATGGCCCAGTCTGTTGTGATTGGTCTACTCAGCTCTGATTGGTCAGATGGCTCAGTCTGTTGTGATTGGTCTACTCTGCTCTGATTGGTCAGATGGCCCAGTCTGTTGTGATTGGTCTACTTTGCTCTGATTGGTCAGATGGCCCAGTCTGTTGTGATTGGTCTACTCGGCTCTGATTGGTCAGATGGCCCAGTCTGTTGTGATTGGTCTACTCGGCTCTGATTGGTCAGATGGCCCAGTCTGTTGTGATTGGTCTACTCTGCTCTGATTGGTCAGATGGCCCAGTCTGTTGTGATTGGTCTACTCTGCTCTGATTGGACAGATGGCCCAGTCTGTTGTGATTGGTCTACTTGGCTCTGATTGGTCAGATGACCTAGTCTGTTGTGATTGGTCTACTCGGCTCTGATTGGTCAGATGACCCAGTCTGTTGTGATTGGTCTACTCAGCTCTGATTGGTCAGATGGCCCAGTCTGTTGTGATTGGTCTACTCTGCTCTGATTGGTCAGATGGCCCAGTCTGTTGTGATTGATCTACTCTGCTCTGATTGGTCAGATGGCCCAGTCTGTTGTGATTGGTCTACTCTGCTCTGATTGGTCAGATGACTCAGTCTGTTGTGATTGGTCTACTCTGCTCTGATTGGTCAGATGGCCCAGACTGTTGTGATTGGTCTACTCGGCTCTGATTGGTCAGATGGCTCAGTCTGTTGTGCTTGGTCTACTCTGCTCTGATTGGTCAGATGGCCCAGTCTGTGGTGATTGATCTACTCGGCTCTGATTGGTCAGATGGCTCAGTCTGTTGTGATTGGTCTACTCAGCTCTGATTGGTCAGATGGCTCAGTCTGTTGTGATTGGTCTACTCTGCTCTGATTGGTCAGATGGCTCAGTCTGTTGTGATTGGTCTACTCAGCTCTGATTGGTCAGATGGCTCAGTCTGTTGTGATTGGTCTACTCAGCTCTGATTGGTCAGATGGCTCAGTCTGTTGTGATTGGTCTACTCTGCTCTGATTGGTCAGATGGCCCAGTCTGTTGTGATTTGTCTAGTTTGCTCTGATTGGTCAGATGGCCCAGTCTGTTGTGATTGGTCTACTTGGCTCTGATTGGTCAGATGACCCAGTCTGTTGTGATTGGTCTACTCGGCTCTGATTGGTCAGATGGCCCAGTCTGTTGTGATTGGTCTACTCGGCTCTGATTGGTCAGATGGCTCAGTCTGTTGTGATTTGTCTACTCTGCTCTGATTGGACAGATGGCCCAGTCTGTTGTGATTGATCTACTCTGCTCTGATTGGACAGATGGCCCAGTCTGTTGTGATTGGTCTACTCGGCTCTGATTGGTCAGATGGCCCAGTCTGTTGTGATTGGTCTACTCTGCTCTGATTGGTCAGATGGCCCAGTCTGTTGTGATTGGTCTACTCTGCTCTGATTGGTCAGATGACTCAGTCTGTTGTGATTGGTCTACTCTGCTCTGATTGGTCAGATGGCCCAGTCTGTTGTGATTGGTCTACTCGGCTCTGATTGGTCAGATGACCCAGTCTGTTTTGATTGGTCTACTCGGCTCTGATTGGTCAGATGGCCCAGTCTGTTGTGATTGGTCTACTCGGCTCTGATTGGTCAGATGGCCCAGTCTGTTGTGATTGGTCTACTCGGCTCTGATTGGTCAGATGGCCCAGTCTGTTGTGATTGGTCTACTCTGCTCTGATTGGTCAGATGGCTCAGTCTGTTGTGATTGGTCTACTCGGCTCTGATTGGTCAGATGGCCCAGTCTGTTGTGATTGGTCTACTCTGCTCTGATTGGTCAGATGGCTCAGTCTGTTGTGATTGGTCTACTCGGCTCTGATTGGTCAGATGGCTCAGTCTGTTGTGATTGGTCTACTCGGCTCTGATTGGTCAGAAGGCCCAGTCTGTTGTGATTGGTCTACTTTGCTCTGATTGGTCAGATGGCCCAGTCTGTTGTGATTGGTCTACTTGGCTCTGATTGGTCAGATGACCCAGTCTGTTGTGATTGGTCTACTCGGCTCTGATTGGTCAGATGGCCCAGTCTGTTGTGATTGGTCTACTCGGCTCTGATTGGTCAGATGGCTCAGTCTGTTGTGATTTGTCTACTCTGCTCTGATTGGACAGATGGCCCAGTCTGTTGTGATTGATCTACTCTGCTCTGATTGGACAGATGGCCCAGTCTGTTGTGATTGGTCTACTCGGCTCTGATTGGTCAGATGGCCCAGTCTGTTGTGATTGGTCTACTCTGCTCTGATTGGTCAGATGGCCCAGTCTGTTGTGATTGGTCTACTCAGCTCTGATTGGTCAGATGGCTCAGTCTGTTGTGATTGGTCTACTCTGCTCTGATTGGTCAGATGGCCCAGTCTGTTGTGATTGGTCTACTTTGCTCTGATTGGTCAGATGGCCCAGTCTGTTGTGATTGGTCTACTCGGCTCTGATTGGTCAGATGGCCCAGTCTGTTGTGATTGGTCTACTCGGCTCTGATTGGTCAGATGGCCCAGTCTGTTGTGATTGGTCTACTCTGCTCTGATTGGTCAGATGGCCCAGTCTGTTGTGATTGGTCTACTCTGCTCTGATTGGTCAGATGGCCCAGTCTGTTGTGATTGGTCTACTCGGCTCTGATTGGGCAGATGGCCCAGTCTGTCAGTGTTTGAGGGTCAAAGTAGACATTGTTCACGGGCAGCCAATAAAGACCATAGACTGCTATTATGCAAATTTGTTACATTGTTACGTATGTATGTAACTGGAATTACTGACAACTCGTTTCAGGCAATAACTATTTATTGTGCACTTTGATTTTTAAAACTTTGCAGACCTTTTACATTTACACACTACATGAAAGGCAGTATTCGAAAAAGCATAATAGGGGCACTTAAAATGCTGTGCCATTGAGCAGCACCTGAAATTAGCTGACTGTAGCTGTTATGATCTTTGAGAACATGGATTACACAAACAGGTTATAAACATGACCGGCTTTAACTTCTGGATGACGGAGAGGGAAAATCCGAGAGAGACAGACACTCACCTCGCCCTGAATTCTCTCCTCCGCCTGAGAGATTGCACGAAAGAAAATAACGGCAGAGAGACAGTAAGAAGCTGAATAAATGGAAGTCAATGGTGATGAAAAAACACAAATTCAAATGAAAAAGATCTAAGGCAGGAACAGGGCTGCAAGATTTGGTCAAATTATTTTGACAATATTGTGCTTTTGAATGCAATATAATAAAGATGTATAAATATCCAAGCTAAAAAATAATAATAACACATAAAAAGTGTGATCACACTTGTTCTCTTTAAAATAACTAAATTGAGACCACTTTCAGCTGACCTGAAATTTGGTGACAAAAATGTTATTCACATTTTACTTGAACTTGAAAGTATTTATTTCATTAAATTCTAGACTTGATTTGAATATTGATTTATTTTATTCAATTAACTGTGCAGCCCTAGATAGGAATGGCATCAAATGCATTTTTTTTATAAATAAAGCAATGATGAATTATTTCACTATTTATAGGCCAATTGGGTTAATTAGCTGAGAATAAGTAGTATTACTTATGAGTGAATCAGTGAATGAAATAAAAATTTGACTTAAGTTGTTTATACTACTGTGTAAATCTGCTTTTCTTTGTACAAAAACAGGCCAGTTCTTCGTTGAACCAATAGATCACATCAGCACCTATGTCATGTGTAGCAGTTCAAGTAACAACTCCATTTTCAGTAAGGAAAGCAGAGAAAGCTTCTACTAGTGTCCCTGCTGTGAGGGTCTAATAAATCAGCAGGAGTGAGAGTCTAGCGCCGTATGACACGTGTTCTGGGGGAAAAGTGTTGGGATACTTACCGAGGAGTAGTTGGAGGAGGCATTGGACACCAGTGAGAGCACTGAGCCATGAACTGCAGCAGGACAAACAGAGACAGAAAGAGAAAAAGTGTGATTTTAAAAACACTAAAATAGCTTAATCACGGGATAGGTTACATTGATTATTTATTGTACATGTCCTGTATTGTGTTTTATTATTTGTAGAGTCACATCCAGCTTACAGAGCTAACTTTTAGCACAAACACAGTTAGAAAATGCAAAGTAATTTAGTAGAGGCTTCGATCCAAAGGAACTTACAGTACACTTAAGACCAAAGTATTCTTAAAGGAATAGTTCAGTTAAAAATGAAAATTCTGTCATCATTTATTCACCCTCAAGTTGTTTCAAACCTGTATGAGTTTATTTTTGAATGAACACAAAGGAAGATATTTAGAAGAATGTAGGTACCCAAACAGTTGATGGACCCCATTGACTTCCATAGTAATTCTTTCCTACTATGGAAGTCAACGGCTACCGACATTCTTCGAAATATCTTCCTTTGTATTTAGCAAAAAAAATTAACTCATACAGGTTTGGAACAACTTGAGAGTAAATGATGACAGGATTTTATTTTTAAGCGAACTATTCCTTTAACTTTTTATGCGTACACTAGTGTCTACGTACTGTATTCTTTGCGTGAATTTTACACATACTGTCCAAGCGAAGCCCGGTTTTTGTAACCAGGAATACTCTGCATGCGCAGGTCGCAAATGATATTGAATTTTTTTACACTAATTACTTTATCCACAAGGTGGCAACAGTGCCCCAGTACTGTTGATTTTCAAGATAGTTAAAGAAAAAAATGAATAAATGGAAGAGACTGCATCTGAAAACTGACTTATCAGCAACCTCACGAAACTGACTTCTGAGGCAGCGTGATGGTTTAATGATCTAGCGCAAAATAGAGAGAGATTTGGTGAAAAATAAGCGAATATTTAATTACTACAATAGCAATTTCTCGTTATCAGAAATGGAAAATGTTGGTCTATAACATACATTTACATAGAAACTGACCAGCAACGTCAACTTTCAGACGCCATCTTTATTTATTTATTTTCTAGCTCAACTGTCACAGAATGGAAAGCACAGGATTGTGGGATATCAAAGGCAGCGAATGATACTTCTGTGCTGCCTTCAAAAATCAATCAGATGAAGGTACCTCAGGAGACAGGAAGTGAAGCTAACATTGGACTCGGACGTTTCTTGATGCCTTCCTACTTTGAAATGCATCCTCCGAAGGCCGTATTTCTAACCTTTCGGACGCAGCCTGGAAGAGTATACTTTGACAGGCTGTGTTTACAACTGTGCATACGTGAAAAAAAACTAAGTATACTTTTGGGCTTTACTACTTAAAGGGACAATGCTAAAGTTGTGTCCCTTTTGAGATTCAAAGTACGCCCCCATGTAGACTGAACCATATAACCCAAAGTCTCACCGTCATCGCCGGGATCTCTGTCTCTGAAGGAGCCGGATCGGATCATGCTCTTGGGCCGCTCGGCGAGTGATAGGGTGCTGCCCAGCGGTGAGGACTGATACAGATCAAAACTGGCCTCGTGAGTGGGAATGCTGTTGGATCTGGTCATCCTTGGCGTTCCTGAGGTGGGGCTGGGTGTCACTGCACATAACAGACAACAGAGGGAGCCAGTGTTTACATATGATATAACTCAAGGCACAGTGGAGAAAGGTGTCCTGCATGTTGCCTGGTGGGGATGCATCTTTTTATACAATATTGGAACATTGAAGTATTTGACTCTATCTAGTGGCTAGAGTCATGAAATATCATGTTATATTATTATTTTTTCCACAAGAGGTCGGCAAAGACACCCAATGTAAGATATTTTGAGCTGAATTAAAAGGGTTATGCATGAAATTGTGAGTTATTTTGAATTTAAGTTGAAAGAATTTGAGGAATGTCCTTAAATTACTAAATTACTATGTATTTATTATTTATTGATCAAATCTAGTAATTTAAAGGTAAATAAAATTTAAAAAGAACAAAAAATCTCCAAAATAAATTGCATTATTTTTTTTATTTTTTATTTTATGTATCAAAATGAAATAAAATAAGCTTTCTGGACAAAAAAAAAAAATACGTATAATTTTTGGGCTCCGGGTCATTTTGACCCGCGAGGGAAGGATTTGCTAAAGGACATGAAGGGAAGGATGAGGGTTAATGCTGTAGAAGTGTGCAGACACTTACTGATGCTTGTCAGTGGCATTTTTCCTGTCAGTATGGGTGAAGGGAACTGTGGCGGACTGTTCGTCTCCGTCAAGCTCATGATGGTGTGTGAGTGGCGTCTCTCTTTGTTGTCCTCCTCAGCCTGCAAGGAGATGTGCTGGCTGATGGGAAATGGGGGTGTGACATTAGTTTCATGGATTTACTGCATTGGATCAAACCGTTTTTCCCATTAAGCGGTGCGCCGTAATGAGGACGGCAGAGGTAAAGTTAAAGGAATAGTACCTTAAGCCTTTCTTTGGGAGAGTATTTCTGTCCCGTTGTGAGCTGAAAGAAGGGAAAAAATTTGAGAAAAAGAGCATAATTCAAATGACAGGACGCTTATGCATGGAAATGAAGAGATCACAGTCCAAAAATAGATCACAGACATTTGTAAAGCAAAATGAGCAATTAGTAGTTCAGGCAGGGGGATAATTAGCAGAGATATAATCTGAGTGTTAACATAATTGCCAATTGTTCTGCTTTGAATTTTGGGTGCATGTTATCTTGAGTACAAATGTGCTGTGTGAATGTAAATGCTGTGATGTGTTCTGTGTTGGAAGATTACTTAACACTAAGTATTAAACTTCAGTGTGTAAGTTGCCCTGCACCGGTTGTGCTAAACCTATGAATAATTCCTAAATCATGTGACTTATTGTCCCTGTTTACACCTGGTATTAAGATGTGTTTTGGTCTGTCGGATCACAAGTGGCCGACACTAAAAACTAAAACGGGTCTAAAACGTTTTGAGCTTGTCCACTTTCCACCGCTTCCAGAGGGAGTTGAAAACGCATTCGACCGGATTGCTTTCGTAGTGTAAACGCTCATGTGGTCGAATGTGTTCGAACAGCCACAAAAGACTGTTTACTCTCGTTTACACTCTACAATGTTCTCTCACCATTCCTGATTTCTAACACACACACACACACACACAGCGTTCGGCTGCTCTTGCCGCTATCAGAGCAGAAACTTAAAGCTGGAGCTCTCCGTGTTTTTCCGTTGTCTCAGGTTGTGTTCATATGTAAATTGCGCAAGCTTATTATGTCCATTACATCGAAAGATCTGAAAAAATATACATTTCCCCGCCCCTCGAAGAAATCAGGACAGAAGTGGTTGAAAGTGGACAAAAGAGACGGATTAAAACACCAGGTGTGAACGGGAATGTGTGCCTCTCGTCTACTTGTGATCAGATCCACCAAAACGCATCTTGACACCAGGTGTAAACAGGGTGATTGAGGAGAGGTGAGCTGTTACTTTTAGAAGTGATCTGACATATGATTTTTGCATGGCAGTCAACAAAACAGGTGGATAAATATCATTAAACTTTATAGCAACATGCTAACATATGCTAGCAATGGCCGCTAACAACTGCTAAAACAGTTAGCATAGAAATGGGCTTGCAACCGCCCATAGAATGCTATACCATTGTGGCACTATTACGCCTTAATATTATTTTTCTAAGAACATGCAATATTTTTATTCAGGCGATTTTTTTTTTTTTTTTTTAAATGTGATGTAGACAAACTCATAAAAGTCTTCTTGTTTGTTTTAAAAATAAAATTATGAACTGAATAATATACAATATAATATAATAGAACTGATGATTCTTAATTCTTATTTTAGTTTTAAATGACTGATTATAATACCTTTATACATTTTCATAGTAATTAAAGAGAGGAATGTTCCAATTTTTTGTTATGCTAAAAGCTAATTTTGTCAGCATTTAGGAGTTACACCATCATAGCTCATGTGAACACAGACAGGAGGTGCCGGAAACACTGGACACGGCCTCACCTGTCAGTCGTGAGAGTGAGTGAGACCCTGCTTCCAGTTGACCAGCCACCGAGCGTCCCTCTGTCCTCATGTCTGGGCCTGGGCTCCGTCACGCTGCCCCCTGCTGGAGACACGCTCATCTGTAGAGACAAGGACTCCATGCTACGGTGCAGGCCGGAGAGGCGGGGGTAGAGCGAGGGAGAGCCACCAGCACTGCCCCCTCGGCCCACGGTGGCGCTGGAGAAGCATTCAGAGGAGTTGACGTTGAGGATGGGAGCCGGGCTGGGGGTCAGACAGCTTGAGCTGCTGATTCCTGACAGATCCTGTAATTTGGAGAAGGGCGGCACTTTGGGGGGAAGCTGGTCCTCCACATTGAGTATCCCACAGTCCAGGCTGTTGGAGTTGACTTTGTCCAGGTGAGCAGGTTTAGGCAGAGATCTGGCACTGGATGGCCTGTGGATCCAATTATATAGAGAGTAATTAAAAATGAGACACACACTAAAATAACTGACATGACAAATGTGAGTTAGTGACGAAAAAAAACAAATAAAAAAAAAACAATCAAAATATGAATAGGTGATTCTTAATGAAATCTTAATGGGAAAAAAACCTTTAAAAGATTAAAGTTACATTTAAGATACATTTAAAATTGTTATTGTAATTAAAAATTGAAGAATTAATTAATTAATAGAAATAACTAATCAATTTTATATCATTATCTGACATTAGGTTATTTTAATATAATTTATACACTACCTCAGTATTTATTCATGTTTTAAATATTTCAAAATTATAAAATTTCAACATTTAGCCTTTATTTCTATAGTTTCAGTTTTCTTTCTTTTTTTATATGCTGTCATTTTTTAAATATATATTTCTATATTTAGTATTAATTATTTTAATTTCAGTTTTAATTTGAGAATTTTTTGTTCTTCAACCGAAAATTATTTCAGTTTCTTTCCAAGGTAACCTTTCTATTTTATTGTATTTTATTTTATTTAGTTTTATTTTATTTAGTTTAATTTAGTTTTGTTTTGTTTTATTTTATTTAATTTTATTTTATTTTTTTATTTTTTATTTATATTTTATAAAGTCTAATATTTATAATCTAATAATCTAATCTTTATATTTTATGTTATGCTCATTTTAAGTCACAAAATGATTTAATTTTAAATTTGAATTAACAATTATAACAATGAATTTGTAACCAATAAATGTCAAAAGTATTTGAGAATTTAATTTTAATATGTAAATGTATTGACTGCTCGCTAACTTTTTGTGTTAGCAAGTCAAAGGGTCCAACTCAATAAGTTAATACATATTGTAACAAATGTATTGATCATTGTTAATCCATGTTAGTTAACACATTAACTAATGTTAACTAATGAAACCTTATTGTAAAGTGGTACTGTTTCAGCGTAGATGAATTGTCATTTTGCTAAATTTCTAGTCAATTTCAAGTTGATTTTCCATCAATGAAAGAACAAGTGCAAACCCCAGCCAATAAGAGCAGATGTGAGGTTTAAGCTATACGTGAAGGAGGTTTTTCTCACCTCTGGGAGTTGGGAGACGGCAGCTCTGAATATTTCCCCAGGCTGGATGGTTGCCGAAGGCCCAGTAGTTTGGAAGGAGGCTCCAGCGCACCCTGTGTTGGTGTCAACAAGCCGTTCTTCAGCGACCCCCCTCCGCAACACTCAGAGTCAGACGCCACTGCCTTGGCTTTGGCCTTCTCCTTCTCACGGTCCGTCTGGTTGACTGGACCGTACCCTCCTGTACTGGCCCGATGGGAGCTCTTCCCACTGCCTGGTTCCTTCAGTCTGGACGGGGTGGGGACAGTTTTTAGACCCTGCAGACCAGCGTCCATGTTGCTGCTGACGGGGCGAGCGCCCGGCCGTCCTCCTGTCAGACTCAAGGTGCTGGACTTAGCGGGTCTTGGGAGACTCCGATACTGGATGTTGTTGCGCGCATTCGGAGCCATGAACCCTTGATCACAGATCGATACATCAAGGCTGGTCTTTCGTCCTCCAACTACACCACCAGCAGAGGGTTTCACTGGGATACCAGAGGTTTTAGGAGTTTTGCTCCCAATCGCAGAATCTCCACCAGTTGTTAGGACAGTGGCAGTGCCGGTAGTTGGAACAGTTTTCTTGTAACCAAAGGAATTTGTGGTGCCGGCAGAAGGACGGACAAGACCGGAGGGAGGTTTTCGGTGTTCACCGCGTTCTTTCCCTGCATCCGAACTGGAGCGCTGTAATCCGGATGTTTTCACCGCCATTTTGGCTTTATCCACGACTCGTTGGTCATTCTTTGGAACTGCAGGGAAACACAAATCAACACAATCAGACATGAGTAACCATAATCAAGAAGAATTATTACAAACATCAGACCAAGAGAGAAGAGATCTCATTGTGTTGATGAGTTTTGCACCACTCACGTTTTATTCAGATAATTAATTGAGTGAAATAATCCAGTTCACTAAATTACATCTTTGGCGCTGACCAGATTAACGCAACCTCTAACCAGAACTTTATACTTCATTTAACACCACAACACACACACACACACACACACACAAGCTGCTTCATTAGAATAATGCAGTATATGGATACAATCCATCAAACTGCTTATGCTGCTGACTTCAGTTCACTCAACTGTAACATGACAGGCTGCTTGAATATTTAAGACGTTAACTTTAACAGAGGACCCTTGAAGTCATAGAGCTATTTAGGAAACAAAGGGAGCGGGTACGGCACAACTGTTACTGTACTGACAAAATGAAATGGGTTCACTTGTAAAGCCCACCCTGATGGCCATCTGGATCCTCTCAGAGATATTTATAAATATGCGGCAAAAACAGGGCCAAAACGCTAGTGCAATCGTGACTTGATCTCTGGACGACTGGGAAAACACACCAAACAGACTGTTCGCAAACTTGAAAACTGGCTTTACTACAACAACGCAATCCACGGTATGCGAAAAAAACTTGCGAGAGTAGCTTAAACATTTAAACGGCTCAATTAGCAGATCCGCACAACAAATAAAAATAGCGTAGCGGTGAAATACCGCGTGTCACGAGGCGCTGTAATTCACACCACTGCCACCCAGGACGACGGCAAGTAAATACAGCTGACATTAACTTGAGATGAAGATTAGATGTGAAAGGAAATATGTTGAGCTGGAATAATGTAGGCCATTAGCAGGCTACGACTGGATTAACTGCTAGCATGATTGTATCAAAGGATACAAGGGGGAGCAAGACACATTTTTTACATGTTTGTTTAGACTGGAGGTAAACCGTAAAAGTGAGTCAGAAACAGGAAACGAGAGAAAGTCAAATGGAAACTGGAAGAATTGGACAGGGAGGGAAAAAATGGCTAACCGAAAGAGTCTGGCCATTAAGCTATCAAACTGACAGAGGTACAGCTGTGAGAAGAGGAATGGAGATAGACGTAATTTGTCTTCCTGATACTTCATCACTGTACAAGCTGGCTTGTACGACAAAATATATACTTTGTGTTGAACATGGTCTTATTGTACAAGATTGTGTCTTAGAATAACAACTTGTCAGTCCAATGTGGCAAAATTAAGATCCATTTCCCTGGCACCCAGAATATGACTGTTATTAGCAGTATTTGCTAATGCAAAATTCATTATACTATTACTTATACTATTATTTATAATTAGGGTTTGGGATAAAAAAAAGTTTTAAAAAAGTAACCTCTTCATACTCGCATGGTTTGTTGAGTAGAGGTGAGCTATTACTACTGTAAAGCACTACTCTAATAGCCTGGATGCCAGCCCAAACCCCGCCCACAACATTTTTTGGTCGGGAAGTTCGGTCTGGACTCGATCCATTGAGGAGTAATTATGATCGGTTCAGAATTAGTCGGGCCAATCAAATTGCCAGGGCGGGCTTTATACGATGATGGACAGCTGATCTGCAGTTACGTAATCATCGCGTTATCAAAGAGCGCTTGGGTTGAACTGGTTTCCCTCAGAGATGACTGGAGCTGGAGAACTGAGATGTATAGATTCCACTATCGCGTCTGTTGTAAAAGAAATCGACAGCACATTCATTTTAAAAGACGAACAGAGAACTGCAATCAAGGCATTCGTCGATCGGAAAGATGTGTTTGCCGTCCTTCCAACGGGATTCGGCAAAAGTTTAATTTATCAGCTGGCTCCGATGGTCACTAAGAAGATGGGACGCAATGAAAACCCTGTGGTCGTTGTGGTTTCTCCTTTGGTCACACTCATGGAGGACCAAGTAAAAGAAGCAACACTCATTATTTTACTACTTCTTCCAGCGTGAGTGTAGTTGAGTTCTGATGACAACTTTGCGTAGCTCATTAAAAAAAACACACTTACTGTGTTGCTCTGATTGGTTGTAGGTCTATCCAATTGAGTGCAGAGGGTTTTTTTTTTTCTGGTTCGGTTAAGACACGCCTCATAATCAAAGCCCTATGGAGCAGTATCAGACTCACATTCTGACTAGAATATGAGTATGACAAAGTCAGGCTACTACTCTAAAGTATCAGTTAACGCAGGGGTAGGCAAGTTCGGTCCTAGTGAGCCGCTGTCCTGCAGAGTTTGGCTCCAACACTGAAAAAAACCTCTCCTGCCTATAGCCTTGGTAATCCTGAAGACATTGATTAGCTTGTTTGATTAGGGTTGGAACTAAATTCTGCAGGACAGCGGCTCTCTAGGACCGAACTTGCCTACCCCTGAGTTAACGCAATACTAAGACAAAACAACATTCGAATAAGAACTTACTTGGCGAATAACTTACTATGGGACTTGCTGCTGCCAATACATACACGACACGCTACTGTGAGCAAGTAAGACATGCTGCTGCTGTACAATATAGCATATATGAATTACCCACAGCAGATCTAAACAGGTGGAGCTGGGGAAGGTGGAGGGTTTCTGAAAGTGCACTGCAACTGCAAATGCTGACCAAGAATTTCAATGTTAAACACGCGAGCTCATCGGCTACTGATACAACAGGAACCAATCAGCTGTGCCCTATAAAGAATAATGTGATTGCAAACAGTTTGAGTCGAAGACCTCTCAGTCTACGCCATGGATGCTACTCTTTTACATACTGTTTTTTACTTACTATACAGTAGACAAAGCATTATTCAAACAGCTTACGAAGTCGTGTCTTTTTTATTGATTCACTGAGAATGCTCATCCAGATGCATTGACTGATTCTTTCACTCACCCTTTATCCAAGTTATGCATCATCACACCAGTAGTTGGCAACGATTATCTTTTGTGTGTCATCAGTGGTCCAAATGATTCAGTAACAAAACAACAGCAACAAAAAGGGTTCAATAGCCTACCTCCTTTTGTTCTTGTTAATTATGTATCTTCATCACCCTCTGCATCCTATACTGTCACAATTCTCCAATTCTCTTCTTTA